AGAGAGAGAGAGAGAGAGAGAGAGAGAGAGAGAGAGAGAGAGAGAGAGAGAGAGAGAGAGAGGTGTTAAAACTGAGAGACTCTAATGGTGATTGGTGTTCTATTGAAAACAAACCTTCTTGATCTCTTACTTTATGGAAAGCTAAATGTTATACCAGTATAACGCCTTTTGGGGCGACTAACGGAGCGAGCGAGAGGGTGGGCCTTGCACGTGCGAAATTGCGAGGGGGTACCTCCAACTGACTTGTGCACGGCACCCTACTAACTGGTCTCTAGCGATGTGCCAAATTTGGGCACAATCGGCCCAGCCGTTCGCGAGATCTGGAAGCGGCACCCTGCACGTGCGCACGTGCAAAATGGGTCCCAACTGACTTGTGCACGGCACTCTACTAAACGGTCCCTAACCGTGTACCAAATTTGAGCACAATCGGTCCAGCCGTTCCTGAGATCTGGAAACGACCCCTGCACGTGCGCACGTGCAGCAGCACCCCAATTCTGGCACATGTATATGCAGTGCCTAGTGGGTGCCTACCTACATGCCAACTTTCAGCGCAATCGGCCAAGTAGTTACCGAGATATTGCAACAATTACAAAACTGACACCTCTTCGTTTTGCACGTGGCACGTGCATAAGGGGTCACCCACATGCATCGGGAATAGTCCAATACTTGGTAGAAGGAATGAAGCTACCCTACAAAAATTACCGCGTGTAAATCGGTCAAGTGGTTGCTGAGATATAAGCCTCGCAAAAGCGTGACCACGGCCGGCCGGCCGGCCGGCCGCTCATACTCAGAAATTTCCGTTAATCTAAGGAAAGACTACGCTCGCTTCGCTCGCTCCGTAATAATTTGTGCTCGTAGCTGAAATGCTTGTCATCAAAACAAAGTTAAATAACCTGATAGTTTGAAGTGATATGAAATAATGAATTAAATTATCAGTGCTCTTGAATGACCTTTCACCAATCCCTTGTTGATTTTTTCCATTATCCGTAGAAATATAAGGATGCAGTGAAGGAACGAAATCATTAGCAATAAAAATATCATCGCCTTTAGAAGTAAATAAAATTGAGCAACATTCAGCGAAGTGTTGATGAGCAACATACGTTTCCAAAACTCGTCAATGCCATTGAAAAAAATGTAAAGAAACTTCTGTCAGCATCCGTCGGTCAGATCCCTCATCTTGTCGTCGTCACATCGGAGGCGACGCTGTAGCCCCGCCCACATTTGCCGAGAGCAGCACCCCATTGGCCGTCATCTGGGGCCGACTCAGCCTCCTATTGGCCAGCTGGAGATGCTGGAAGGAAAAGACGGCGGTAAGATGAAGAAATGGTAGCCAAAAATGGTGGCGATTCGTGGTACCTACCTATGTGTAGAGAGGCCAGAAGGAAAACTGCAAGGCAAATATTGGCGGTTTTCTGGGCCTGAGGATAACTAAATGTGCGAGTGCAGTGCGTGCACTTAATGACATGGTACCTACTTGGTAGAACATTCTAACGATTCTCAAGGCAAGAGATAAACTGTAAAAAAATCATATTGTTTTATTGGCATCATCATGAGTGGAGATAAAATGGCTTTTTGCGCTGGCGATGAAAAGGCATAAGATGATAAAGATATCACATGCAAATTGTTTCCATGATCGCCTGCTGCTTTTCCAGTATAGTACCTATATTTAGGAGCTACATTTCATAAAACGCCAGGAATATCAACGAAGTGAAACAGCATATTTTTCCAGAAAGGATATTTTCACGTTGCAAAACATTTAGATAAATAAAGTAAACCGAACACATCCAACATTTACCAAAGTTGTCCTTAGGTGGGCACTGGGCAATGGGCATCTTGGTCGAACAGTCTCATCTTTTTCCGCCCTTCGCAGACCCCACACGGCCTACATAGGTACCTATTGCAGAGACCGCCTCCCCCGTCCCCGGCCCGGCTCTCAGCATGGGGCGGCGTCCGGCCGTTTCCATGGCAACCGTGCCGCAACAGACTCCAATGATATAATCCCGGGAGTGGCGCGGCGGAGACGGGCTGCCTGGATCGATCTTAGGCGCCGGCCCCCAGCCGAGGGACAAAGGGCACCGCTGACCACGCCGTGGACGGCGCATGGCAGCGGGGGGGGGGGGGGGAGGGGGGAGGGGGGAGCGACGATAGAAACGTCGGTGGTGAATGCTTGCCTTGCCTGGTCTGGGTAGTTTGGTGGATAGGCGGGGAGGAAGGAAGAGTCAGGGAACGTTATCAAGACGATAAGGCATATTGCCTTAGATAAGATAGACCAAGCTTTTGTTTTAAAAAGTAAAGAAGATATGAAGTGTGCTGTTGTCATAAGCTGCTTACGGAAAACGACAGTCACGGCCTAGTGGCTGGTCATCTGTGTATTTTTTCTTTTCCTTTTTCTGAGGACACCGAATCGGGTGGCAGCGGGTCAGACGTCTGCAGTGTGATCTTTACTTCGTTATTTAATATTTTCCCTTTTCGACAGGCTTTGATTTGGTGCATCTACACAAACATATTTATCGTTAGCATGACTAACGCTCGTATTTTGTTATATACGGAAGAAGATTTAATTTGTTGTCAATGCAGAGGGGAAGATAGAAAGTTTGTTCTCACAGATAAAAATCAATCGGCATTGTTGCTATATTCAGTTAGCGTTGCGCTATGCATAAGAAAATCAAGGCCTGGCCGTTTCACAATCATTCGTTGTCCCACAGTTGTATTCCTGAGCCAGCCGCGTCCGAGACGCCACAGAGCCTCTCATACCGGCATCTCCATTCAATCCCACTGTCCCATCCTTTTACTAATGAGCCTGATCTCACTCCTTCAATAGAAATTCGTCCCATCCCGACCATCCATCAGCCGATAATCCCAGCTCCTGAGAGGCCTGTCAAACGATGCCTCAGTTTGGGTGTGGTAGGGACAGGCGTCTCAGCAGGAGGGGGATGCGGTCCTTTGATTTCATTCATTCATTTTATCAGGGAGAGGGGAGGGGAGGGGGAGGGAGGAGACGCGCGGGTGACGCAGAAGGTGGCCCACGCCGTGAGAAAAGCCATCAGTGATGTGACGTGGCATGATGTGGTGCTGACGGTAAAGTGAAGTGGGGATGGCGGCGAAGTGATGTGTTGGGATATCCTGTGATGGGACGAAGAGACAAAACAGATGAATGTTTCGGTGCCTGAATTGTGCTATACGCTGCTGCTATGAAACAGCTGCTGGTACGAAACAGACGTTAGTAAAAAGTTGGACACAATTTGATATAAAATAGACGTTTCCGGTACTGCAGGTAACAACTATTGAAGTGAGTATCAAGCTCACATAAACAGAACTTTGCAACTCCAGTCCTTACCATTCACAATGGAATGCAATCATGTCGGTCAACGTTTAAAATGCCGAGGAGGCGGTTCACACCAATGTGAATAGTTTCTGTCTCATGCCAACGTCTACTTGGCACACAGCCCTTCGGCCCGTGCCGTGCGCTGTTGTAGAATGTATCCCATACATCTTCGGCGCTAATCGATTTAATAACCCTCTGTCCGGCAACCGTGAGGACGGGGCTGCCTCTGAAGCGCAAACAAAGGACGAACAGTAGGCGTGGCGTGAGTTATGCTGATCTCTAGAGGGTGGGTACTGGGCCGTTGTTTCTGCTATGGGCCAGGCCACATACCGGAGATTTTCGGGGGTCGTTTTTTGTCGCTTACAGTTACAGGAGACCAGAAGCAGAAGGGAGAGAGGGGCTGCCGTGTATGTAATTATGGGCAGGGTGCTGGGTATGAGAGGCATGCTTCTGAAATGAGGCGAGAATCGAGAATGGGAAGAATATGAACAAAGCCATGCAGGCATGGTTTTGTATGTGAAGACTTGCCGTTCTGAACTAACTTTCATAACTCATGCTGCGTATTTATCTCTTGACACGTAGTGGAACGATTAGAACAGATATAAATTAACAGTTGCGCATAATGAGCTGTGTTTCTTTTGTTTTGCACTGTTTTGTTGGAGTAAAAGGGCCTTACCTTTAGGCTCTAAAGGGCCTAACCTTTAGGCTCTTTTCGCTCTGACGAGATGATTTCAGAGCACCGGAAAGATGACAGGAACAAGGTGGGGGGATATTGGTCTGGGCGGCCACCCGAGAGTGCCGCCGGGACTAAGTCCGTCAGTCGTCACGACGGACAGGCCGACCAGCCCCGCAAACGGTCACCCCACCAGTGCACCACACGCTAGTCTCAGCAATGAGCATGCCCCTGAGGAGTTTCATTTCGGATGAAGGTAACCCAGGGACGTAGCCAAGGGGGAGGCACGGGGCCATGCCCCCCCCCCCTGAAGGCGAAAAATAAAACAAAAAATTGAATTAAAAATAAAAATAAATCAAAAACAGCTGTACCACCATCCCCAAAAATAGTGGGTCAAAACCGAGGATTTTTCGTTTTTGGAGGGGGTACGACCCTAGGCCGCGACCTGTGGCCCCTCCCTGAGCAAAATCCTGGCTACCTTCCTGAGGTAACCATCCTACACAGATCACGGGTTTGAGGTGGGGATAACCTAAGAAGAACGGATTGATTGGAGATAGAAAACATAAGCATGCAAACTTTGTGCACTTAATTATTTAAATGATAAGCCACTGGAGCCTGAGGTCTCTGAAATTGTCGACACCAATCACAGCCACAAACACATTTACAACGTGACAGTACCTACATTTCCCCACCGACCCGTCACCGATTAGCTCCAGCACGCGGACGGCTATCAGAATGGACCTCGCTAGCGCCACCTGGCAAACAGAGGCAGATGGCGCTGACAGCAAGCAGAAGTACGTTTATCCATTCAGCAGGTGGCGCTAGCGTGCGGACCTCGTCTTCACTGAACATTGAAACGAAACATCGTCTTGAAGATGCTGCAGAAAACGGCGGAAGGCTTTATTACTGTATAGCCCACTCTCAGTCAGGCATGGGTTAACAATGTGACCAACATATTTTTTTTTGGGGGGGGGGGTATCGTAAAACACGTCACAGACTCACAACCCTCGTGCTATTTTATTCTCCAGACTCCATTGGTGCATGCATTGGACAAATTGAACAATAGACAAAGAATCAGTCACATTATCCCAGCCTGCCCTGGCTTTGATTCACCGCTATGTGCTCAGGTCAGTGCAGTCGGACGGGTGCTGGTGCCTCAGCGCTCGTTATTCTCAGTCCCAGAGTCCAGTAGGCCAGTCCCAGGTTCGCGCAGTCCACCCTCAGTAGCAGTAGCAGTGGGACGAGGGACAGTAGGACGGATTGTTGAAGCAGTTGTCCACACACCACTGTGCAATACCGACGATATTCGCATATGCACCGACACCGATGCACTTCGATTTCGCCTTGATGTGTTCTTTACATATGGCGGCCTGTGGTGCAGCTCCGGACCTCTCCGCCCCGAAACTCTGAAATGGAATACAAGGAAGACTGTCAAAAGAGCCAGCAGTAGTCACTGCCCACTGCAGAGATCCCACTGCAGCATGCTCCGCATTGAAAATGTCATTTTCAACAGCAACAAACAGCAACAACAACAACAAGAGCAAAATATTATGCCAAGATGTTTTTTTAGGGGCGGGGTAAAAACGTCAATCAGAAACCACATAGAAGCTAAACTTACGGCAAATCTCGCCAACAAATGCTTTATTATTTCTAACAAACGAGTGATACCGCACCGGTTCGTCTCCATTTAAACTGTGTTTGGAAAAAACATTCATGTATTTATTTCCTGCCCATATATTAGCATATTTGTCCGTTAATAGATCGCAATATGCAAACATGTATGTACCTAATTACTCACGAGCAAAACGAGGCACAAAACTAGTTTGCCGTGGTCGAACATCTGTAAAAGCGCACAACAAATCAAAGCAGCATAATGACACCCAACAAATACACGGACATTTCGAAAGACCGACGTCCGACAGTCTATGACATAATGATTATGACACAAGTCTGTCGCTTCCACGTGAGAACGTGCTCTGTTTCCACTGACTACTGAGTACGTACTATACCTAAATCGCCCTCGATATATGGTCGAGTTGAAGAGCGTGAATTGAATCCAAATTGAATCTGAAGCACATTTTCCATAAAACACCTTTAGGCTAACTCCAGCCAACGATACTGGTTACACCTGATTCTGTCATATAAATGATATTGATACAGCACAGTTTTTCAGTATTGCAAAGGAGTTATAAGAAAAAAATCACTTTAGGCTTTAGCCACGACACCACTTCACGACAATCACTTTAGTCTGCTTACCATTTCGACGTTCGGTGTTCAGCTGTGGTCGATGGAGCTTTTCACGTCCTGTGGACCCTTCTGGTCGCTGCAGTCTCTGGTGTACGGGTCAGGTCTGTCATGACTGCCACTCGTCCGACCCCGGCCCTGTTCACCTCTGGCATACCGGAGCTGCATTTGCACTGAGCGGGGATGTGCACAGCAGAGGGGGGGGGGGGGGGGAGGCGCCATCCGGCCCAGTGACGTCGGCGCAGTCACCTACATGCGTAAACTGTCTGTCTCGCACTTCCATTTTGTTGACGTGTACTCTTGAAGAATACACACGTTTCTAGAACATGCATTACATGCGCAAGGCTGCGGAATCGATTAATTTGTGTTGACTTCGACTCTGACTGCGATTCCGGCTTCTCAAAATCAGCTCCGACTCAGATTCCGACTCCAACCCGACTCCTGACATCTCTATTTGCCCTTGAACTTACAGAGGGTTGGGATGGATAGACCCCTCTCAAGGGCAGTCACGGTCCTTTCTCGATGAAAACACTCGTCCAAAACAGTAGCATGACCTTATGTTGACGAACTCTGTCTTAAAACGGTCAACGAGCGTAATATGTTCGAGCCAACAGCATGACCTTCACCTTTGCAATGTTGACTCCGACACCGGAGTCGGAGTTGGTAGCATTTACTTTAACACTTACGTTCCATTTACATTATGCATGCGATTTACATTACATGAGACATGCGATCACCATCGCACACAATACGACATAGGCACCATCAAGGACTGTCTGCCATGGCATCAGTCTGCCGTCCCGTTCGCACGGTTCCACGTGTGAGTACCATGAGGGAGTGTGGGATGGCAGCAGGATCCCAGTCACGGTTTAGTGCGTTTGCTGCCGCTGCTGGCTGTGCTTTCAGACTAATTTTCGCCATGTAACTCCATGTTGCTGCTGCAACTATGTAGAGCCATCTGTTTGTCTGACACAATAGTAGTGCAATACCGTTTATGCTACGCCACCAGCTCTATTCAATGGAATGGAATGAACGGAATCACATGGGCGTAGGAACCTCACGAAAACTGGGGGGGGGGGCGGGGGGGAGTGAAACTTTAATGTCACTTTGTGGGAGTCCCAATACCCCTATGAAGAAATTATTTGCAGTTTTGTGCTCATCTCACCGTGCACCTTGCTGAACCATTTCATGCTCTTAGTTTTTTATTGAAATCAAAAATAAATATGAAAGATTTTACTTAACAACTGGCTGAAAAGTGTGTGTGTGTGTGTGGGGGGGGGGGGAAGAAGCCCCCCAGCCCCCCGTTCCTACGCCTATGCGGAATCCAAACCAAAATGTGGCTCAATTCAGTGCAACAGATAGACATGACTGACAGCATTGTCAGCTTGTCTGGGCTGAATACAATAGCACAGCGAAAAGGCAGATTCTTTTTATATAAGAGGAACTAAAATACTTCAATCTGTATGCATGATGCCATAGATCTAATGAACAGGAAATGATCTTCACGTAGATATGCTCGGAGCTCTTTTGAAATGCACTGTGTTTTTAATTTTTGTGATGCTTCTCACTTCTTCATGTGGTGCCACCACTACACAGGAGCTCATGTACGGCCTTTTTACCAGTTGTTGACTGTCACGTGGTCAAATAAACATTTGTGTATGTAAAAAAAAATAATTTATGTATGTAAATGCTAACATAGGCACATATAGAAGCGTGGTGCGTTGTAGCGGCCGAGCCCGTACCGTCCCCCTGGATCTGGAGTATTTTCCCGCCACACTCCGATAATTTAGTGGCTGCATCTACTATTCCAGCGAAACGTTAAAGGGACCCTCCCACCTTCAAAAAAGTTTATGAATAGGGTTGGGAGTGGGACCTATCTGCATGCTCTGTATGTTTTGGTAAAATAAGAAAGCTCAGAATTTTTAATGATTTAATTTAAAATCAATTTGTTAAAAAAATACCTAGTTAGCTCAGAGATTAATTAATTGTGACTGAAAACAACTTGCTTCTGATTGGTCGGGATAATCACCAGTATAACGCCTTTTGGGGCGACTAACGGAGCGAGCGAGAGGGTGAGCCTTGCACGTGCGAAATTGCGAGGGGGTACCTCCAACTGAGTTGTGCACGGCACTCTACTAACCGGTCTCTAGCGATGTGCCAAATTTGAGCACAATCGGCCCAGCCGTTCTCGAGATCTGGAGGCGGCACCCTGCACGTGCGCACGTGCAAAATGGGTCCCAACTGACTTTTGCACGGCACCCTACTAACCGGTCCCTAACCATGTACCAAATTTGAGCGCCATCGGTCCAGCCGTTCTCGAGATCTGGAATCGACCCCTGCACGTGCGCACGTGCAGCAGCACCTCAACTCTGGCACATGGATATGCATTGCATAGTGGGTGCCTACCTACATGCCAACTTTCAGCGCAATCGGCCAAGTAGTTACCGAGATATTGCAACAATTGCAAAAGTGACACCTCTTCGTTTTGCACGTGGCACGTGCATAAGGGGTCACCCACATGCATCGGGAATAGTCCAATACTTGGTAGAAGGAATGAAGCTACCCTACAAAAATTACCGCATGTAAATCGGTCAAGTGGTTGCTGAGATATAAGCCTCGCAAAAGCGTGACCACGGCCGGCCGGCCGGCCGGCCGCTCATACTCAGAAATTTCCGTTAATCTAAGGAAAGACTACGCTCGCTTCGCTCGCTCCGTAATGACGTCACATGTAGGTATATGGCTGTCTGTATATTTGGCGCAGTTGAGGCATACATTTTCTATGTATTTCCCTATGGTAAATCGGAGTGATTGGTCGTGTTTTCAGTGTCTCTTTATTTTGCGCTGGTATTGCGTGGCTAAGAAGTTTTATCAAGAATGACATATACTAAAATGTTCCTTTAATAGTGGAGCTTCAATATCTGTGAGTTTTAATGGCAAGTGAAAACTGATTTCGCTGTTATTTTATCTGGAAATTACTCATTTTTGAGGTCAATATTCAAAATATTTTAATGGAACAAGTTGACACTTGCTCTTGATTTTTGCACTCAAATCGCGTGCGAGTCAACTATATTGGGACTTGCAAAGAATCTTGCTGATTAATTAACTGTGTTGTTATGGCACTGTTTGCAAAGCATGGATAATGAAACTGTGCTACATAGCAATGCCTCAAGTAATAAGCAGGAGGGACAGAATTCAGAGTCCAATCGAGAACAATCGGTGCAAATGCTACGAGGACCAGGCAGCTCTGATACGATGGCTAGTCGTCTCACTCCATTACACCAGCTGATTCCTGACAGCAACGACTCGGATACAAAGATGGAGCTCATCTTCCAAGCCAGAAACCAGTTCTTTGATGGAAGATGTGATGCTGGCTGCTGCCTCTGTCTGCTTTGTTGGCCACTTTGGACGGAGCCAAGCTCCGCTCCTTGCGTGAGCGGTTATTCGCCTGTCATCCAGAAATAGTTCCTTCGTTTGCTGGCCGTTCCCTGATTAGGTGCAATACGGGGAGCTGTAATCAGGGAAGTAACTTTCCATATGAAAGGGGTGCAGGTGCACCGCCGTCCCCCATCCACTAGAAGTGCACCCCCATAGGCTAAGCGGCGCCCCACACGCCGCCCCACACGATTAGCTCTAGAGCAGATGGCGAGGGTGATTTCTCGGCTACATTCCATCTCGGCGTGGTGATGCTTGTGGGCTTGGAAAGCGTCCAGTCGTATGTAGGGTAGTGTAGGGGTAGGGTTGAGTTCAATAAGGTCCTTACATTTGAAAGGTTTGAACAACCCGCAATCAGCACAACATACCACAAGTTAACTAAAAAAACTACTAAACTCCGCCCAACTAATATTAATAAACATTACAGCCAAACTAATGGCCTAAATAAAAATATACCTCAAATCCTAACAGTTATCGTGGGTGATGGCGCCATGAGTTGCTATTATCCAAAACAGATGCAAATAAACATGTTTGTATGTCCTATGTATGTTTGTTTTAAAAACGTTGCAGCGGCGCTGGGAACTGCAGTCTTAGATCTGGGTATATTTGGCATCTGCAACTCTTCATATACACATTAACCCTATTTCGGACGGGGAGGCCTTTCAGGATTTTCTTGTACAATTGTCAAACGCCGCGAGACATTCAGCTCATATTTGGTGACTTTTCCTAAATGCTCATTGCGCACATCTCAGCAAAAAAAAAAAAAAAAAAAAAATGCCGGGTCAGGTCAGGTCAGGTAACCTTTGCTGACCCCACCTCAGAAAAGTTTGCAATCACGTCAGAGCTTGAGTTTTTCACGAAGTTATTTCCTCTTATCAAGTCTTCAAAACAGTACCTGCAGTATGTGTCGTTTGTATACCTCAGAATTTTTCATCTGTGACCTGAGGTTAGGTCAGAGTCGTGACCTTTATGTACATTGCAAGCCTATGGAAAAATATTGAAATGCGACCTGCACCTCGAGTAAACGAGTCAAATTCACCCAATTCTTTAAGAATTATGACAAATTATCTTATCTGTAATGATCCAGGTGCCATTTACTGACAGGGACACCGGAGAGGGTTATCTGAGGGCGAGATCATGTGAGGTGATATCTACCATACATCAATGCTCACAATACTTACAATATTGACAATGCTTACAATACTGTTACAATACTTACGATGAGACCAGCAAGCACTCTGCCGTTACAGTTCTAACTTCTGTTTCGAAAACCGACGTTACACACATTCGCTGCCAGCATAACATGTATTGTTTGACAGTAACAAAATACAATTGACATCTGAACCCCAAACGGACCGCCATCCACTCAAATTTTATAACCCTGACCGGTCAGGGGGCGAACGGAGGTCATCTCCTGGGCATTACACTCAGACCTTGCACAAAATATCTCACCTCACAGTGATCATCACAACAATACCGCTGACTAACTAGTAGATATCCAGGTACATACTTGCATCAACTCTTCTTGCTATTGCAGACGATCATCCTCAGGGTAATGTTGTTCGGGACATGAACGAAGATCTTTTTCGGAGTTTCATGAGTGCTACTGCAACAGCCTGGCATAAAACAGGACTTGTACGCTTTTTCCTGCACTTTGCCCTTCATGTATCACAAAAGAATTGTTTAAAATCC